CTGTGTCTGTCCCAGGCCAGCGGCTGGGGGGTGGGGGTGGGGTGTCTGTGCTCTGTCGCCTCCCCAGGGCCTGGCTAAGCCCTGCTAAGGAGCCGTGTATTCAGGGCCCTCCCTCTGCAGAGGAGACAATCTCCCCAGGGACACAAGGCGAGGAAAGCCCTTCACACCTTGCATTTAGCTCTGTGCTAATTCCACTCAGAGACGCTCATTTGTTCCCATCCTCACCTTGCTGAGACGCTGATGCAGCTCGTAACAGAGGAGCGTGTCTGATACAGCGGTGGGTGGTCCATTTTTTCCCGAAAAGCTGTTATTAAGTTGATGGTGCATCTTACGCAACAGCATTTTATTTTTTTTTAAGATTTTATTTATTTATTTGGGAGAGAGAGAGGGAACACAAGCAGGGGGAGTGGGAGAGGGAGAAGCAGGCTCTCCGCTGAGCAGGGAGCCCGATGCGGGGCTCAATCCCAGGACCCTGGGACCATGACCTGAGCCGAAGGCAGACGCTTAACCGACTGAGCCACCCGGGTGCCCCTCAACAGCATTTTAAAGTCAAGGAAATATGTAAAGACAGTTTCTGGGGGTCATCTGACTACTCATCCATACCACATCTGCTGAGTGCGTACTGTGTGCAAGGCTCTCCCACGTACTGAAGTATAAACGTGTGTCGACTCCCATAGGACACGTGGAACCATCAGACCTTCATCCCCCTCATCACCGGCAGGCAGGCACCGTATATCCTGTTGCAGACCCTTCCTCGGAGGCCTTGCCCACCCTTGGCCTCCCCTACAGGCTGCCTCTTGCCTCTCCAGTGGTGGCCACAGCCTGGTGGTGGGCATCTTACTCTTCCCTTTACAGATGAGGAAACTGAGGCTCAGAGGGTTAGGTGGTGTGTCCAAGGACACAGAGCCAAGAGCACGTGGAGGGTGGTCCCAACCTTCTCTGGGCAGGGCCCTCACGGTCTCACGGGGCTGGGGCCACAGGTCAGAACCAGCAGCTGGTGGGGAGAGAGCCCAAGAGAGATGTTTGAGGGCCGGAGTCAGTGCTCAGAGTCCAAGGTGGGGCAGCAGCTCTGATACTGGTATCCAAGGCCAAAGGGTCAGGTATCTGGGGGGAGGGTGGCCGGGAGGAAGGGAACAGAGGGGCTCTGGCCCAGGGCTGGGGTGAATGAGGAGACCCCAATGGCAGGGGGCTCTGGCTGGGAGGGACCTCTCGGCAGGCTGGCTCTTAGAAGAGTCCGGGATGGACAGAGTGGCCCTGTAGGAGCTCTGAGAAAAGGAGCAGGCAGGGAGGGCTTCCTAAAAGACAGGGCACTTGAACATGGGTGTGCCTGAGAAGAGCCCATCTACGGGAGTATGAGAGGGAAGATGGCCAGAGAAGAACCACCACCCCCGGGCTGGCAGAGAGGGATACTACAGCCCTGCTGTGGGCCAGGCCCTAGGCTGGGAGGCTGGAGGGGGTCAGCCGTGGTCCCTGTCCTCAGGCAGAACACAGGTTGACAAGACAGACGGTCTCAGAGGCAGAGGCCACGTGCTGGTCTTGGTGCTGAGATGGATGGGGGGAGGCAAGGCTCCCGGCTGGCTGACCAAGAGCGTCCCTTGGCGTGTATGACGAAGTCCTTGGTGCCGGGAGGAAAAGAAAAGGAGAGGTAGTCAGGGTGGGCCTCAGAGAGGAGGCGGCACTTGAGCACAGCCCTGAAGAAGAGGCCTTGGCGGGGGGGGGGGGGGGGGGTTGTGCCCGCAGGTGGCCCAGCAAGGAGGTAGGCGCTAGGACTTTGGGTCAGAGAAGCCGGGTGGCCATGGGGGCAGGTGGGCCTGGCAGGGAGTGTATGGGTCCCACCTGCCTTGGTGTGGAGGTCGGGGTGGGGTGAGGTGGCTCTGAAGTGAGGACTCGGGGCCCCACCTGCGGGCCCAGGGGCGAGGGGTGTCTGGCCAGCCCCACGGGAAAGTGCTGCCAGGCACAGAGCACGGGGAGGAGGGAAGGGTGGGAGAAGGCCTGAGGATGGAGGGATTCGGGGAGGGTGCTCTGGGGGTGCTGAGGGCCCAGGGGAGTGGGGGGAAGGGCACGACGGGGTCTGAGGCAAGTTGCCCAGGCCTCCCCCTGACTTCTTTCTGCATGCCTTTGCTTGGCCACCAACATCCCCTGCTTTTGCTTGTCACCCAGGGGTTCCCTTGAGTCCAGCCATCTTGCCCCCTGGATGCTCTTTGGGGCTCTGAGGTCAGGAGACCAATTCTGGGGGCTCAGCTGGCTCCAGGTTGGGGGGGAACTCCAGGCCGCCTTCTCAGAGCTGCCAACACAGCTCAGAATTTGGCAATGCCCACTCATTTGAGCAGAGGGGTAGGGAGCTAGTGGTGGCCTCGCCAACCACCTGCGATGTGGCCCCGAGGGGCCAGGAGGCTGCTCTGAGCCTGGTCCTTGTGGGACTTGGCTCAGCGTAAATACCACAGACTGGGAAGGAGGGGAGGCTGGGACAACAGAGATTTATTTCCGCACAGTTCCAGAGGCTAAAAATCTGAGAACAAGGTGGGCTGGTTCCTTCCGAGCCTCTGTCCTGGGCATGCAGATGGCTGTCCTCTCCCCCGTCCTCACACGGTCGTCCCTCTGTGTGGGTCTGTGTCCTGACCTCCTCTTCTTGTAAGGCCCCCAGCCAGACTGGGTTAGGGCCCATCCTAAGGAGCTCATTTTAACATAATCACCTTGATAAAGGCCCTGTCTCCAAACACTGTCATATTCTGAGGTACTGGGGGTTAAGGCTTCAGCCTATTAATTTGGGGGACGGACACAGGTGAGCCTGGAGCAGTCCCCGTTTGTAAATGAGGTGATAGGATAGCTCTGAGGTGCCTGTCACATCAAGCACCTGCTTTGAGGGGTATCCGGTCTGTGCCCGTCCACCAGGTGGGACCACATCTGGCCTTGTCCACCGTTGTGGCCTCCCTAGCAGCTGCAGGTGCAGACGGGCCCCCAGCAGATGTCTGTCGGGTGCACTGAACATGAGGGATCCTGGGGCAGACCCAGCGGTCTGGTTCAACCCCTTCCTTCTCCCCAGGTTCCCTCCAGCTCCTGCCTGCTCCCCCTAACCCTGGCCACGCCTTCAAAACACATTCTTTGGGCACCTGCTCTGTGCCATGCTAGGGGGGCGAGCTGTCACGCATAGCTGTGCTTGCCACTTTCATGAGCAAATAGGTGCCCTTTTGGGCTAATTGGAGGTGGATTTCTGTCATTTGTGAACAAAAAGGTCCTGACAACTATACTTAGCCTGGCCAAGGTCCTGAGGTGAGGGCGGGTGGGGGCGAGTGGGAGGAGTGACTCACACATAAATAATCTGGGTCTTTCCCCTGCTGGGCCTTGGGGCGAGTTCAGGGAGGCAAGAACATAACCAATAACAATGCAAACAATCACAGTGATGGAGGCAGGGGGTGGCAGGTACTGGGTGGGGACTCCTGGGCGCTCTGGGTACACAGGAGGCCAGGGTTGTTTTGGGCCAGGCTGGTCAAGGGGTGCACTGTGGAGCTGGGGGCTTCGGAGCTGGGCTGTGCAGGTTATTTTAGCTCCCTTACTCCGAAGTCATTTGGTTCCCTATTGTGCAGAAAGGAGACTGAGTCACAGAGAGGAACCATCTCCTGCTAGGAGCTCACCTGAATGCTTGCCTCTGCCCCTGGCCCATCAGGGCTGCCTCCCTAGGCAGGGAACGCTGGGGAAGGACAAAAAAGGGGGCCCCAAATCTTGCCCCAGGGAGTGCTTCAGGGACCTACGGCCCCTGAAGGAATGGATAGGACTTTCCCAGATGGAGGAATGGATAGGACTTTCCCAGATGGCGGGGAGGCTGGGGGTGGGTTGGGGCGGGAGGGTAGAGGAGAGTTCAGTTCTGGATTTGTTGAGTGGGAGGCGCCTGTGGGACTCCCACGGTTGTAGGACTCTGCAGAGCAGGGAGAGTGGGCCGGGAACACACTTGGCAGACAGCAGATGGGACAGGCAGGGCCGAGCCCAGAGGATCCAGCTGGGCAGTGGATGCCGAGGCGGCTGGGTGACAGCCTTCAGGCCTTCTATATTCTCTGGGTTCCCCCTACCCTCCCAGCCCGACCTCCGGTAGCCTTGTCCTGGTCAGACCCGGGTGGGGAGCCGATAGTGGGTACCCCCAACCCAGGGTAAGGGCCTGGGGTCTGAGGGGTATTTTCCTCTATCTGTCCATTCAGCACCGTCCTGGTCCTGGAGGACCTGGGGGCAGGAGCGCTTGGTGGGGGGGGGGGTGTCCCAGACCCAGGGGCAGGAGCGCTTGGAGTGGGACCCCTCTTCTGCTGCCCTGCCCCATTGTATGGTGCCCACTGTAGTGTGGAGAGGAGGTGGCCGGCTCCCTTCAATGACAAGGAGAAAGTGGGGGCGAGCCCAGAGGCCCAGATCCTGAGGCTAGGCAGCACGGCTGGGCATAGGGGGAGCCCCTGCCAGGTGCTGGGAGTCCAGAGGGGGTGCGTACCCCCCCGCCCCCCACCGTGGGCAAGCAGTGGCGGTCACGGAAAAGGCGTATCCCTATGGGATGCGGGTCGCCACCGGCAGCACCGTCACCATCTCGGAACCACTGCGGTCTGGCGCGTCCCCTGGCTGTCCGGCGTGCGGGCCGGCGAGGTGACAGCAGCGTGCGTGCCTGTGCGTGGCTGTACCCGAGACTTTCGCCGTGACGGCAGCGCGGGAACGCCTGGCGGGCCTCCGCGCGGAGGAGCCGCTGCGCGTGCGCGTGGGTGCAGGTGGCGGGGACGCACGTGGGCCACCCAAACAAAGGTGGCGCCGCGCGACCGAGCGTGCGCGCGCGCGCGGCCCCGCCGGGCCAGGCGCGCCCCCCGCGGGCGCCGGGAGGGCGGGGCGGCGCGCGGCGCGGGGCGGGGCCAGGCGCGGGGCGGGGCGGCGCGCGGCGCGGGGCGGGGCCAGGCGCGGGGCGGGGCGGCGTGCGGGGCGGGGCGCGGGGCGGGGCGGCGGCTGCGCAGGCCGGGCCTGGGGCGCGCAGACTCCGCGCAGCGGGACGCGAGCGCGCGACCTGGCGCCGCCGCCGCCGCCGCCGCCTCCGCCTCCGCCTCCGCGCTCGTGGCCCGCACCCGCGGGGCCGCCTCCTCCGGGCTCCCCGGCCTCGCTGGGCTCCCGGGCGGGCGGCAGGTGCAGCGCGGCCGGGCGGCTGGCGAAGGGGGCGCCGCGGCAGCGGGTGAATGAGAGTTGGCCCCGATCTCCGCGCAGGGTAAGCGGCGCGCGCGCGGACACCCACACGGACCTCGCGGACCCACGGACGCGATCCCGGCGCGCTCGGCCACGCTCGTTCCCGTGCCTGGAGCCAGCGGCCCTCCGAGAAGGGCCCCGCGCGGGCGCGCCCTGCACACACGCCCCCAGGTCCCGCGCGGGGCCGGAGCGCGCGTCTCGGCCACCCCCTGCCCTCCAGCGCGCGCCCCGCGGCCGCCGGCGCCCGACCCGCCTGGGCGAGGAGGACGTTCCGGGGGCGCGGGGCCCGGGCTGGGGTGCTGCTGGTCGGCGAGTCGGGGGTCGCCGAAGCTCGGTGGGGACCGGGGCTCGGCGAACGTCGTCCTGGAACCCACTCCGTGGGGACACAGGAGAGGAGGAGGGAGCCGCGACCCTAGAAACGACCCCGCCAAAAAGTTGTGGCCACTCGCCCCCTCCCTGCACCCCTTTTTCTGCTTCGTCTGCTCTCCCTTTGTCTGTGACTTCTAGTAGTGGGGCTCTGCGGGGACCCAGGGCCGCCTGCAGGCCAGGAGGTGGAGTGGAGTGTGGCCGCCCCCAGCCTGGGGTCCCCACCTGCCCAGAGCAGAACCAGCACCCCTGTCCAGGCCTACAACTGGGGAGGAAGGAGAGCCAGAGACAGGTGGGCGGGCGCCCCTGCCCCGACGCTGGCTCTGTGGTAGGAGGAGCAGTGGGCCCCAGATGTTGGGGACCTCCGTCGCCACCCCCTGAAGCCAGGTTGCTCTTGGGGTTGTTGCCAGCCCTGAATTTCCAGAGGCAGGGAAAATTCATTTTGGGGGAGATCTTTTACAGGATGGGAATCTCTTCTTGCCTTCCCTATGCAGGTTGGGGAGGAAATACAGAGTTTTGAGCCTCTCCCACACACGCAAATTGTGGCTGTTGGGTCCCAGGCCCCATAGTGACCCAGCTCTGGGCGTTGTTTTAAGTCTGGGCCTGGCAGGATGGGCAGGGGCAGGGCTACGCACTCGTTGAGAGAGAACTTTGGAGTCTTGCTTCTGTCGTGCATCAGCTCTGTGACCTTGGACAGGAAGGCGTTGAGCCTCTGTTTCCCCCCCAGTAAAGGGAGAGGGGGGCTGGTAAGAGTATTAACTGAGGTGATGCAGGCCTCCCACTGGCCAGGCACGCCCGGGGCAGAGATCAGAACACCCTGGTGAGGCTGGCGGTGCCCTCTGCCCCCAGGCAGCCAGTTTCCCTGACTGCCCCACTTGTGCCCCGGGCACATTTGAGGACACATCTTCCAGCTAGGTGAGACACTTTGCCCTGCCCTGCGCTGGGATGAAAGCACATCCCACAGTTGTTCGCTGGGACACCTTGGATCAGGCACCTAAGGAAACCTGCCCCACCTTCCTGCTGCAGACCCTCAAAAACCTTCTGCCTGGCCCAGGTAGGGGGCCTGACCTGGCTGGCCTTCTCCCTGTCTTGGCCATGGTGGTGGTCCTGCTTTAGCACTTTGTGACCGTGGGGCAGGGGCCTTGAACCTCCAGAGTCTGGACAGTGTTGGACTTTATGGCAGCCCGTGGGGGTGCCACTTTGGTCCTGGGGACTGGGAGGTAGGGGGTCCTCAGGGCTTTAGGGTGGGTGCCACACCTCCTCTGCCCTTCTTCCCTCTCAGCTGCCCTGGCTGTTGCGGTGTGGGGTGTGGCTGTCCCAGTGGAGCGGCCTGGGGACGGGCAGGGCCTGTCCTTGTGATGTCTGTGTGTTTGCACTCGGGAAAGGCATTTCCTGGAAACTGGTTGGGAAAGTCTTAAACTTGTGGTCTGCTTGGCTCTGGCCCTGGCAGCCTGTTTATTCTGTGTCTTCTGTGGAGGTGGGCGAGGGACCCCTCATGGAGTAGGAACCAGGTTGGTCTCTCCCCAGGCCACTAGACTGCAAGGCCCCCCTCCGTGCCCTCCTCTTATCTGTCGAGTCCAGCCAGGAGTGGGTGTCAGGAGACCAGTGGTTGCCAGCTCTGGGTGACCTCCACTCCCTGTGCTCCCTAGGCCTCACCTTCACCAACTGGAAACGAGGAGCAGAATCAGGCCTGTTTTTCCTGAATCACCGTTTTTGCTCTACGACAGAACAGAATAGAATCGTGGTTCGGGCACGATGAGACAAAGTGCTGTTAGATCCCAGCGAACTGTGTTGCCAGGGCCGGCCGCGAGCTCGCAGCCCACCCTCCCTGTGTAACAGCCATGTTACAGATGGGACAGAGGCGCCAACACCAAACCCAGGCCGCTCCTGATGGGATCCGTGTAATTGGAGGACAGAGGGGCCCCTGTGATGCACCCGTGGTGTGACCGTGGTCGTGCCTTCGGTACCCCCGTGGACCCCTTCCAGCTCTCCCTGTTTTGTGGTTTGGGTGTTTCCCTCTGGAAGCTGGAGCTGCCCGGGCTGTGTGAGGGATGGGGTTCCCATCCTGGTGTGGCCTGGCTCCAGCCAGCTGCCCCTTTCCGGGGTGGCCCTATTGGGGCGCTGGCATATTCCCCCAGGCCCCTCACCTCTGGTGTTTGGCTCTCTGTGCGTCAGGATCGGGGGTCCTGCCTAGCGGCCGTGGTGAGGACTTGACGAGCGTTTCTGGAGCACCTGTTAGTGCAAAGCGTGCTGGCTGTTAGTGCTGGCTAGGAAGGAAGCCACTGGTGGCCGGCCGTGTGGCCTGGTGACCCCGTCTCTGAGCTTCCGCCTCCTTCCCTTCCTGCGGCTGCAGCACCTGTTGCCAGGAGGACGGGGTCCTCCCATTTCCATGCGTGCTTGCTGCCCCGTGGGAGCTCTGACCGCGTTGGGCTTTGTAGCTGCACATCCCTGCACTTAAAGAATTTGGAAATGAATTGGGGGAGATGAGACGTGGGCTGTGGAAGTGAGTAGTAGGAGGAATACAGATGTCCTTGCTGGGGAGCGGCTTCTGTTTGCTCAGCCCAGACAGGGCTGTCTGTGGGAAGCTGCTCTAGGAGAAGGTGTCCACTCCCCTGGCGCTTGGAGGAAGGCCCCTGAGGCGGGGGGACTGGAAGCTGACTCGGAGGCTCTTCGGCACCGCTGTGGGTTCAGGCCAGTTTTTTTCCGTGGCTTTTTTGGTGGCATGGCAGTGGGGACTCTGGTTGAGTCTTCATCCCGGGCACAGTCCCGAAAATACCCCACGCAGAGGGGGTAAGAGTTCAAGTCCCCGACAGTCCGGTGTGGCGGGCGGGCTCGGGAGGAGGCCTGGGTCCCTGAAGATGATGGTCGTTTAGTGAACAGCGCGCGTTGAAGGCACAGCCCTGCCCCGGGTTTGGAGTCAGCCGGCGAGGTCAAGAAACATAATCGGTTAACTTGAGAACTTCGAAGGCAGGTCGCTCTGACTTTTCTTACAGAGATGGAGCAAGAGGAGGAGGGTTCCCTGATTAGAGAAAACCGCGTTCTTTCGGCCTTTGGTGTCTGCGTGTGGCCCGCACGGAGGGGCTGGGGGAGACTCTGGGCCCCTCCTCCTCCGCTGATGACCGCCGCCTCCTGAGGGCTGTTGTTGGGATTGTTGGGCATCTGAGTTCTAACCGGGTTGTGATCCTGTTTGAGCCCTGGGACCGGAGTCCCCTGCGGTTATACTGGAAGACAGGAAGTACCGGCCATTCAAAGAAACTTTAGTAATAGTGACGGAAGTCACTCAGTGTAGCGTCAGACGGGGGACAGGTGTTCTCCACGCATTGTGCCACTTCCCACTGAGAGAAACTGAGGCACAGAGAGGCGGGCTGGCCTGTGCCCCCATTTAGTTAAGTAGCAGGGCTGGGATTGGAACTTGGGCTGTTTGGCCCCTAAGGCTGTGCTCTTGACCTCACCGCCTCTCCGATAACCCCGTAGAAAGTTCAGTTACATTTCTGGGGGTTCGTGAGAGAGATGTGAGCAGTAAATTTAGTCGTGGGGTAGGAAGTCTTTCTGCTATTAAACATGCGGCAATAGCGAGAGCGTCCCTTACCCTGGGCCTGACAGCCTTCTAAGCACTTTATATGATTGATCTTTGTAACAACTGGAGGTAGCGGCTATTATTAGCTCCATTGCACAGATGAGGAAGCCCTAGCTCAGAGAAGGTAAGTAATGTCCCTGAGGCCACAAGCTGGCGAGTGGCAGAGCCAGCCTTGAACCAGTGGTCTCTGTTCCTAACTGGGAGCAGGCGGGTTAGGTGGAGAAAACATGATCTTGCCGCTGTGTGTTCTTGGACAAGATGCTTAACCTCTCTGGGCCTCAGTTGGGTCACCTATAAACAAGCGTCTTGGTGTAGGATGCTGAAGCCAGAGGTTTGAGAGCACCCTGCCATCCACGGAAAGGTCTGGCCAGCTTCTCCAAGAAGGAGGGGGTATGGGGAAGATGGTGGAGCACGTGGGCAGGTGCTCGCCATCCCCAGCACGGACTGGTGGTGAGTGGCTGTGGTTGGAGTCAGGGCGTCTGGCTCTTTCAGGGCTCCGTCCGGATCTGGGGAGAAAGATACGTGACACTGGGGGCCATATTGCTTCCCTCTGAAGTGGGGGTGCTTGGAAACCATAAAGCCCTGCGCTCAGTGAGTTCTTACCGGTTCCTCCGGAATGAGGGATGGGGAAGGGGGCTCTACCCAGAGCTCCTCTGTGCCACCAAACCCAGGTTAAGCTGTGGGTAGGAGACACCAAATGTGCTGGGCACCATTGACGGCCCCAGAGGTGGGGGGAAACAGCTCCCCCCTCTTGGTCAGGTTCCCCACTCTCAGTGGAAAGCACTCTGCTTCTAGCCCGTCCCCCTGTGGGCAGCAGGGGCTTGGGGCTGTCTGGGGATGAGCACAGGGCACGAGGAGGCAGGAGGCCCTCCCCAGTGCTGCCAACATGGAGTGCAGGTGGGGGGCACATCTGAGCCCATCCTGTGCCCCAGCACCCTCCTGGGACAGAGAGGCGTGCAGCCTCCGTTCTGACCCACCCGTCCTCCCCTGCTCCCTCCCTCTCCGCCCCCTTCTGCCCACGGAGCCTGCAGGGCTGCAGAGCCCTGTGTCCGGCACATCTCTGCTCCCTTCCCCCTGGC